CCTTCTTGAACTTATCATCAAGTCAACAAACTCTACAAAATCGTTTAAGATTAGCGCCCATAATAGAAACTAGATCTATAATTTTTTGCGAAAATTTTGAAAATTTCAGTTGGAGGATCCTGATAAAAATGATGGAAATTTTCGAGCTCTTTTGAGATACAGAGCCATGGGAGGGGACAAAACACTTAAACATCATCTAGAACAATATTAAATAAACCGGGAGTGATCTCCCCTAAACTTTCTCGAATATTCTTATATAAAACAACAGGGGATGGTAACTTGGGATATAGTTATGATTTTTAATCCATTTTAAATACTTAAACTTTTAAAAATGGAATAGAAACTCATAAAAAAAGAATTGCGCACCAAGCGAACGCCGAATAAAGATGTGTATAATAGTGCGCAATATTATTAGTACTTTATAAATTTACATGCATTTTTGAAAAATCGGAAATAGCGTAAATTAGTACTTCCGGTCAACGGAAATTACTCAAAATTTGATAGAAGGTAGAGAATTAGATCTTTTACTTACATGTGAAATTTCTTTTATCTATCTGAAATAGTACTCAAGTTATAGGCTTTTGAAAAATTCAAAGTAGAAAAAGTACCACTTCCGGTTATCGGAAATCGCTCAAAAGTTGATACGGATCTGCGATTTTGATAAAATACTTATATATGAAATTTCATCAACCTAGCTGTAACGATACTCAAGTTATCGTGTTTACATACAGACAGACAGACAGGCAGAAAGACACACACACACACAGACATACGGACAAGATTGCAAAATTATGTTTTTCCGTATCAGTGAGGTGTAAAACGTCGAGATTCCGATAGTTCAGAACGAAGTGATAAATGTGTGCAATAAATTAATTGTTCAAAAGATTGTCACGAAAATTACCCCTGTCAAATTGTTTTCTGTCATAGCCGCTGAAAACTAGTGATGTAGTTGGTATGGAGCAATTTTCGTTGTGTTCGTTACTATGATAAAGACATACAGAAAATAAGGGAGGATTTCCTACAATTTTTTAGGTGTAACTGATCTAACAAGCATAGGACATGCACATGTTTAATGGACACTCTAGCAAATTTACACAGACGCTGATTTTATGATTGGTCAAGGATATGATGCAGTGAGTGGTCGACAACATGGGGCGCAACAATATGTTACTGAGAAATTTCATTTGGCGATTTACGTGCATTGCGCATCTCAGTCTAAATCTAGCAATTTTTTTTGCCTACGAACTACCAGCTGTGAGAAACTGTATGGGAATCCTTAATAGCACATAGAACTACAACTTTTTTAAAACACCAAAAACGACAATTCTTGCTTGCAAATTCAATAGAGAAAGTAACACCTAAAGCATCAGCATCTCGACTAATACGGTTGTGCACAACAAGATGGATTGAACGTCAAGAGTCCGTCTACGTTTGTGTACAACTTCAAAAAGCAACTGTTGATACATTGGAAATTATATCATCATGGCACGATCAGAGGCGTAACGATGGGGGGTACATATGTCCCCGGGCGCCGACCTTAGGGGGCGCCAAAATGGGTTGGAAAAACAAATTAAAATGTCATTTTAGCTGCATTTCAGCCTTATAAACAGTTTGAGGGGGGGGGTGTGCAAATCAAAAGTTTGGGGGGGGGGGTGCAAATCGAAAGTTTGAGGGGGGTGTGAATTAAAAATTTGCTCCTCAGGGGGGGGGGGGGCGGCGCCAAATTGAAAGTTTGTCCCCGGGCGCCGGGAAGGGTCGCAACGCCTCTGGGCACAATACAACTTCTTCAACAGTGGTTCAACTTTTAAGAGCAATTAGGAGTCTTGAGGTTTAAGTTTCTCTTATAGCTATCTAACAAATCTTTGCAATAACACTTCTGGTAAGCAGAATAAACAGAAGCTTCAAGTAGCTTCTAGTGAATATGCGGAAGGACGCTGAATCAGAATTTACTACCGTATTAACCCTTTCCCCGGCAACATATTTGGTACCCTGTCCCCGGCAACTGGGTGGATCATACCCGGACACTTTTTATAGTGGGAAATACTATTTCTTCTGATTCCCGGCAACTGGGTGGATTGTACCCAAAGACTTTCTTATAGTAATTTTTTTTTCTTTCTTCATTGTGGGGTGGGTAACAATACTGACACAGTTAAGGTATTCAGGGCATTGTGGCCATGGGGAACACAAGACATGTTGTTGTCAATGGGAGAGCTGTAATATGATAATACAGGTTGATGGGATTCTCAAGCAAGAGTTAACCTGTGGGTGGACACATGTAATGATTTATACTCTTTGCCGGAGCTCTGACTTGCAGTTACTGACAGAACTGTAGTTTAGAGTTACAATAGGTTAATGAAATGCAGGGGTAAGATTTCCTGTGGGAGGACATATATAGTGATTTGTACTCTTTTAGGGAGCTCTGGAACGTAGATAAAGACAGTCCAGCAGTTTAAAGTAACTTGACATTAACCTCATTAGGAGTACGAATTGGGACAAAAAAGCAAAACAACTTTGTAATGCTGCTTGAAAGCTGATACTGGGCAATGAATTGATCAAACTGCGAGTGAGGTGGGTGTTCTAAAGGTTGTGACCCTGAGAGTAAGGTTTATAAATAGTTATAAACGTTATTGAGAACACAACAGAAACAAGTCTTTACTCTAAACTCAAGGGCTAATGATAAAGGAATATATTTGCCAGTTTTAGTATAGCAGGTGAAAATGACCAACAAGTTTTGAGTCTGAACTATCAGTAAGAGGTAGAAGATGAAGAATGGCAGCCATCAGTATCAGAGGTAGAAGATAAAGAATGGCAGCCATCAGTATCAGAGGTAGAAGATGAAGAATGGCAGCCATCAGTATCAGAGCTAGAAGATAATCCTGGTTCAGTTTCAAGCAGCTCTGATGAAGAGGTCTACCCAATATACTGCATTTCAACTATCAATAATGTGTCAACAGTTGGCACTCAGTATGAAATGAAACTGATGGTGCAAAGTGAAGAAAAAGAAATATTTTCAGGAAAGACAAAGTAACAATACACTAGACCACTGCCAGAAGTGCTAATCCCAGGAAAAATATAAACAGCCTGACTCAAAATATTTCTTCTGTACATGAATACAAAAAATAATACAACAAATATTTGACTGCATTAGCAGGGATGGAGAGAAAGCAAGAGGAGACACTATCACTCTGCAGAATAATAATTTAGTTGTATGTCAATTCAGTTCTGCTTATGGAAGTTTTTGAAGGCAGAATTTTCTATGAAGAGAATCAGCAACCTTCTGGGTCATATTCACTTTCACAACAATAACACTAACAGTCCATCAGGCTCATGGTATATTTGCTTCCATTGTGGTAGATATTCCATACAAATTTAGCAGGGTGTTATGTTTCTGGAGAGATCATTACTAATTGGGCAACTGGTTGATTTTAGAGGTGGGAGTAGATTTATCCAATACATACCAAGCAATTCCGATAAGTATGGAATTAAAATATTTTGGGCATGTGACTCATGTAACACCACTAAAGGGTGCTCATATTTTGTCAAAGAAAACTAAAGTTCCCTGCCAGCAAAAGGAAATGCCCAGTTACTTTAATTTTATCTAACAACTGTGCTCTCTGAGGTGCAAATTATTAGAACGTGTTAATGTTCTATTATTTTATTACTAAAGGTGATTACTTCAATCCTGTTTGATATTTTTGTTACTCAAATACCTTCAGATTGTTAATTTTTAGTTAAACTTTGAAAATGTAACACAATGGCTTAACCCACAATGAGTAAAAACAAATATTTAGAAGCCAGTTTATAAGTTATAAATATTTTTTCCATTCAAAATTGTGTACGGGTTGCCATGGACCGTATAAAAAAACTTTCAAACCCTCATAAAAATTTTTTTTACACAGATTTTTAAAATGTACAACCTCCAATGTGTTCATCCCAACCACCTTATAGATGGGAATGAGGCCCAGAAAAAACTTTAAAACGAGACTCGAGATATGAGCAAAAATACAGCGACTTCGGGTCGATTACACCCAGTCGCCGGGGAAAGGGTTGTTAAATGAAGTCAAAGACATTTGTGAGGAGTTTGACAAAGATATACTTATTCCACGTCGAGCTGGAAAACAAATTCAACGCTGCAATCTGATGACAAATACCCCTGAAAAGTATTACAGAATAGCTGTATTAATGCCTTTCCTTGATTCCGTTATATGTCAAAAAAGGAGACACGTTGCTGAAACATAAATCTGTTTTGGGAGTTTTTATGCGTCTTTTGTCCAATCACTCGGGTTCCAACAAAGAACACGAAAAGAATGCCATAACACGTATGCAAAAATATCAACGTTTAATTAACAGCAGTGTCATCGATGAAAGAATTGGGGAACTGAAACTGAGGTGGCGCCACATTATTACAAGTGGAAATGTAACGCAAAATGCTCATCAAACTTTTTAATGTGCGAGGTAAAAATATATCCAACAATCCACAAACTACTACAAATATTTGTAACATTGCCGGTAACAACTGCCGTTCTGACCCTTTTGGTGCATCCTTAAGGTCGGTGCACGCGGCGCCCCAACCCCCCCCCCCCCTCTAGCTCCGCCTCTGGACTTACGGACATCTTGGAAAAGTTTAACTCCAAATTCTTATTTAGGCCTAGTAATAGATGTTATCGAAAATATCAAATCCCTATATTACATTATCAGTTAACGTACACATGGTGTGTAAATGAATTAGTAAATTAATTAGTATCTTTATATTTATAGCATGTTTTGAGAGGTCTACTAATTTTTTTTTGACGTCCACATTGGGGGGGGGGGGGGGGTAGTCGGAAGTGGACGAGGGAGGGAAGTGGGAGGAGGGGGGTTAAAATTCCACATTTTTGTGGACGTCATAAATGGATGACCCCGAGTCTAGTCAAGTCTAGTATACATGTCATAAGTACTGTAAACACTTACGCAGCTATTAAGGTCACTGCGCATGCGCAGAACTTTTGAATTTACTAAAAACAAAAAACAACAAAGTGACTAAGTGAAGCTGGTCCAGGAAGTTTTAATTCATTTAGGACGCTATCTAAAAACAGGTATCAGGAAAATTATTCGGTAAAACCTTAGTTTAGCGTCGGTTATTATTCCGGAATCGTATAGCAGTAAAAAACAGTAAAACAATGCTAAAGTCTGTCACACACTTCCGGAATTCACCGGAAGTACTGTAAACCATACATTATTTGGCGTCATCTTTTATTTTTAATACAGAACGCTTAAAATTTGGATAGATTTATTTTAATTGCGTGTTAAATATTGCTTTATTACTCATTTTGTATAACTAGTTATTTTTAAGTGTTTCAGCTAGATTTCTAAATATTTCTGCTACTAAACATTGTTTAACAGGGTTCGTACACAGTCTGGAAAAAGTCGACTTTAAAAAGTCTGGACGGGTCTACAGACTGTGGTATGACATTTTTCGCTGGGTATCGCAGATGAAACCTGATTTCTCAGTTACTACGTCGTTGGGGGAGGGGGGGGGAAGAGTGTAAGACCTGTCTTTTTTGTTGTTGTTGCTTGACTGACCGTGAAAAAGTTTGAACTCACGGTGACCCCAAGTACGTAGACGGTGGTGTTTGGCTAGGTGAGGGAGGAGGGGGGAATAGAAGTTACTGTACAGTTCATGATATAACCTATTAGACAGGGCTACTGTGACCTCACAGTGAGCCCTCCACCGTCTCTTCTTGTTGGGGGGGGGGGGGCGTTCTGACCGGGATTCAAAGGGACGACTCGAAATATCATCCAAGTTTCTCAGCTATAACTATAAGCACAAATAATGGTGTGGTTACAAAGGTCTTGTTTCATTTTCAAAATAGTGTACGAACCCTGTTTCCAGTCACTCTTACTCTTTTTGTAATCATTTTTACATCTTTGTAATAATTTTTACTAGTTTCGTAATCTAGATTTTTTTACTTGGCCTAGCAGCTAGCTAGATCTAATTAATTAATGGTCGCAAATCCGCTGCAAGCCAAAAACATTAAATTATTACATTTGACTTCATTATTTATATTAATATATGTTTTTTAATTTATAGATGTACTAAATAAAATCTAATATTATATTTATTCTTGTTTCCATTTGTCGATTAAACTTAAAAAATTAAAACATTAATTAACTACAATCAACTTTCAATTTATTTATATTTCAATGGTCAAATAAACCATGGTTTACCGTAACTCTAGTTACCGAAACTCAACAAACATTACCCGATAATTTCCGACGCTAAACTAAGGTTTTACCAATTATTCAGTACCCTATTCATATATAAGGGGACTAATAATCTTTTATAAATCAATTCGGATCCAGTAGAGCCCTAGGTTAACATAGGATAGTAGTGCTCTACCGCTAGTACTCTAGTACTACTAGTAGAGTATGATCATGATGCCCCACAATCCACAATCACATTGAACGACATTCTTTGTGTTTACAATGAATTTACAATTTACATGTTTTTTTGTTCGTTTTTTTTTGTAGATCTAGAGTCTAGCTAGATCTACCTCTAGTCTTAAGCACAGTTGACCTCAGATAACAGCACAGGGCCTAGACCTCTCTAATGATACTCTAATCTCTATATAATAAATAATATATATGAGAATGTGCATCTTGTCTTTAAAAGTCTTAATTTGATAGTTTTTACCAACATATCACTATCACTATTATTATTTTAATGAATTAATTATTAACAGTTAGGCCTTTATTTTATTTGACCTGTGCAAAAGATCACCACTCAATAAATGAATAATAATATATAGATCTAGACTAGTAGATCTCAAGATCTAGATTTTCTAGAGGCCTACTTGATGAAAACAAAATGTATGCCACACCCAAAATCCAATAATTTATGACTTTTTAAATGTCATTTCATGGCATGTACCTCACAACTGAATGTATTAGACTGAAGTTTTCCTCATTGATAATCATTTTTTATATTTCTAAACTGAATATATTACCAAATTAATAATTATAAGTTAGATAGAAGTAACTAGGTTTGATTATATTTTGTCAGTTAAAATTTTTTTAATTGTAATTAGAAAAGGCTTTCATTGTTATTTTGGAGTAACAGAATCTTCTTTTATTTAAGATATTAGCTATATTAAAGTATAATATAAATTGTTACAATAATGGTGTAAGACCGCTTAATTGCAGAAAAAAGAACAGATTAACTTGAGCGCTTAATCAACTTAATGTAATTGTGGCCATACAATAGAGATTTCTTAATTTTTTTTAAATGAAAAATTTATTTAAAACTGGAAAACTCATGGAATTTATTTTTAGTCTTGGAGCATGAACCCTGGATAGTAGACCTACTTGTATTGTGTAATGAGCCACTGAAACTTACCAACTTATAGATAACTTATACTTTCACTTTCAAAGAATTTTTAACTTAGCCCTACAAGCAAATTTAAAGCAGCACTTTGGCAATATATATATGTATGACTCTTATCATTATAGAATACAGGATATTATGAACAAGAATATAGGTATATATTTATTCATATATATCATTATAATATGTCTGCTACCTTTTTGTTTGCTGCAGCCTGTTGATTCTACAACTCTAACTACTAAATGAACTCACTGTAACCTTTCTACCATTTATTGTTTGGGAGTTAGGGGGTTGAGAGATACTGGCGACAAATCGTAAAAGCAGTCTACTACTACTATTAGGCTAAAAGCATGCATATGGATATGGCTTGGTTATTATCAAGGTGGTGATTTTTGGCTCCAATGTTTTTTTAAATTAATTCCCAAACACAGTTTATAACATTTAGTAGACCCCTTCTAATTTATAAGCTTATCGGTCTAGGTCTATAACATTTTCCATCACATTAACTAAAATTTTCAGGTATAGTGTGCAAATTAGTGCCAAGTTACCTGAAGATCGCAAGTGTTTATTTAGCTGTTTATCACAATTTACAGCTGTAATTAAAATTAATTTACAAACTTTTATTACATATTTGGATAAGATTAAGCACTGATTATTTACAATTAAAAACTAACAACATCCAATCAAGTTTTGAATTTTGTTATTGTTAATATCTTAGTATTTCTATTTTTAAAAATAATTTAAAAAAACTGGTAGCTCAAGATATTAATCTGCAGTCCTGATGGATTTGTGTTACTGGTTATATATTTTTTCATATCAAGTCTTAGTAAGTAAACATCTGTAATCAGATTAACAAAAGTCTGGTATGTGTTGCAAATATTGCCATGTTATTAGTAATATGTTGTTTTGGCTAACATAAACTAACAACAGCAAATCAAGTTTTTATTTTTGTTATTATTGATATCTTAGTATTTCAATTTTTTAAAATAAATTTAAGAAACGGGTAGCTCAAAATATAAATCTGCCTTCCTGATAGCTTTGCATTACTGGTTTTCTATTTTTATATCACATCTGACCAAGTAATCATTAGTAATCAGATTGACAAAAGTCTGGCATGTGTTGCAAATATTGCCATGTTATTAGTTATATGTTGTTTTGGCTATATAATCATCAGTTTAACATTTACATTTTTTAAATCATCAGTTCATATCTAAGAAGCTATCCAGCATGGAGGTGGAAACAGATGTGTTAGCTGCAGTTTCATCTACTGTAGATATACAGTCAAATGAATTAACAGAATTTTCATCTTCTGAAGATTTGAAACCAGATCTATCATCCATAGTATTATCATCTTCTGAAGACATAAAAACAGAATTAACAACATTTTTTGATTTCCAGGATATTAAACCTGACATGACATTTAAAACCCCTCAAGATGTTAAACCTGATGTTACACCAGAATTTTCTTCTTCTGATGACATAAAACCAGAATTATCATTTTTTAATTCCCAGGATATAAAACCTATCAAGTCATTTAATACTTCTCAAAATTTTAAACCTGATGTTACAACAGAATGTTCTTCTTCTGAAGACATAAAAGCAGAATTCTCAACATTGTTTCTTTCCCAGGATATTAAACCTGACATTACAGACAAAACTTCTCAAGTTGTTAAACCTGATATTACAATTTCAATTGAAAAAAGTAATAAGAAACCTGTTGCAACAGCAGTATTTTCAACATCAGAAAATTTAAAACCAGAATTTTCAACTCCTGAAAATTTAAGACAAGATTTCACAACAGGATTTTTATTTTTTGAGGATAAGCAACTTGGACTTGAAGAAAATCTACAATTGTCTAGGGACGAAGGCAACAAGTTAGTTTATTATCATCAAGAATTTTCTAAAAGTTCTAATATTAATATGCATAAAAAAGCTCAATCAGGAGATGAACAACATGAATGTGATGTTTGCCATAAAAGGTTTTCTCAACGTTTTAATTTAAGAAGACATAAAAAGATTCATTCAGGAGTAAAAGCATATGAATGTGATGTTTGTCATAAAAACTTTGTGGAAAAGAGTAATCTATTACGACATAAAAACGCTCATTCAGGAGATCAACCACATGAATGTGATGTTTGTCATAAAAGGTTTTCTCAAAGATATAATTTAATAACACATAAAACGGTTCATTCAGGAGAAAGGCCACATGAATGTGATGTTTGTCATAAAAAATTCACAGAAAAGAAAAGTCTGATACGACATAAAAAAGTTCATTCAGGAGATAAACCACATGAATGTGATGTTTGTCATATAAGGTTTTCTCAAAGTTATAATTTAAGTGCACATGAAAAAATTCATTCAGGAGACAAGCCACATGAATGTGGTATTTGTCATAAAAGATTTTCTCGAAGTCGTAGTCTAAGTGCGCATGAAAAAATTCATTCAGGAGACAAGCCACATGAATGTGATATTTGTCACAAAAAGTTTACTCAGAAGAATAATTTATTACGACATATAAGTGTTCACACAGGTTATAAGCCATATGTATGTGCTGTTTGCCCTAAAAGGTTTTCTCAAAGTTCTTATTTAAGTAAACATGAAAAAATTCATTCAGGAGACAAGCCACATGAATGTGGTATTTGTCATAAAAGATTTTCTCGAAGTCTTAGTCTAAGTGCACATGAAAAAATTCATTCAGGAGACAAGCCATATGAATGTGATGTTTGTCATAAAAGATTTTGTCAAATAGCTAATTTAAATACTCATAAAAAAATCCATTCTAGAAATAAGCCAGATGTAGGTAAAGAAATGAGTTCTTCTAAGATTACTCCATCTAGTTATAATGAAATCCATCCTGACATAAAACCATTTTGATGTGATTTTTTCAACATAAATCATTAATTATAGAGCAAAACACAACACTTGAATTTCTTTTTTTTTCTCATAACTTTAACTAGTGGTCATAGAGTAGTTGGCCATAGTTTAGTAATTTTTATATTTGTACATCACATCCATACCTTTACACATGTACTACTTTACACATTTACACTACTCACACGCAGCTCAGTCAGACATACAGGAACATGACAGAATATCATGTTGAAAGGTAAAACAACCTCAATTAGACAAGTACAATGACATCAGACCGGCAGTCACAGTGGCATCTGGCCAACAGGTACAGTGACATCAAAACTTATGAGCAGACAATCTTTTTTTAATAAACACTTTTTCATCTTTTACTAAATGTCCTTAATGATTATGTTGAGAGATATAGAATCTCAAATCATATGATCAAACTCTACTGGCTGCAATGTATAACTCACACAGACCATATGTGAAAACTGGCTGCCCCAAAAAAAAATTTTTTTTCCTGTTTGTCCTTCAAATGTATTTATTGTCACCATCACTAATGCAGATATAAAATATTTGGAAATTGAATTCAAATTGAATTTTAAATGGTAATTTAGTACCTGGATAAAGTAAATTTCAACTAGGAACTAAGTTCTGTTATGTGGCTTCTGTTAAAATTGTACAATCAATAGCATTAAGATGCATAAACAAGTTGCCAATTATTGTTCCATTGACTAATGCTTAATTTGTATGTAAGTAAAACAATGCAATTAACTTTCTATACAAATTCATGTGGTGAAAATTAAACTTCTACTTTCATTGTTTGACATTATTTTATTCATCCCATTTAGGAACCTCCCTCCCCCTGTTTACATGTCTTATTGAACTAACCAAGATTCATGTTGCTCCAACCATTGCTAAGGCTTATGGTCACTTCCTAACTGTTGCTAAATGTATGTTTTCTATTTTATTTAATTAAATGCAATTCTACCATGTTATATATATATATATATATATATATATATATATATATATATATATATATATATATATATATATATATATATATATATATATATATATATATATATATATTAGATAGATAGATAGCTAGATAGATAGATAGATAGATAGATAGATAGATAGATAGATAGATAGATAGATAGATAGATAGATAGATAGATAGATAGATAGATAGATAGATAGATAGATAGATAGATAGATAGATAGATAGATAGATAGATAGATAGATAGATAGATAGATAGATAGATAGATAGATAGATAGATAGATAGATAGATAGATAGAAAGATAGATAGATAGATAGATAGATAGATAGATAGATAGATAGATAGATAGATAGATAGATAGATAGATAGATAGATAGATAGATAGATAGATAGATAGATACATACATACATACATACATACATAGATACATAGATACATAGATACATAGATAGATACATAGATAGATACATAGATAGATAGATACATAGATACATAGATAGATAGATACATAGATACATAGATAGATTTTTATCTTTCTGCACTCCTACTCAATATGAACTTTATACCAAATCTCAGACACCTCTCTACCTGCTATGTGTTTAAAAATAACACACAGTAATTTTCTTCACATATTCATATAGGATTTAGAGATTAACCACATATAACAAATACATAAATAAATCTTTTTTTTTTTTTAAACAGCACAAACAAATAGAATTATCAATTTGAAGAAAAGAAAGACTAAAGCTGCTATTGTTACATTTTGGTATCTTAGTTTCAACATAATGTAATGTTTTGTTTTTTGACAATATTTACCTCCCTTCTGTCACACCTCATCACAAAAAGCCTGATACCCCACCTAAAATGATGTCACTACTCAGCCTACAAGCCACCATCAATAAAAATGTAGTTTTTTTTTTCTTAAAATATCGACAATTTTCCAAAATCTTGTCTTTTATGGACGACCCCAAATTAAAAAAACAACATTGCAATGAAAATTTAATAATGTGAATCATTGATAATTGTAACAAGAAAATTGTATGAAATAAAATGGCTAACGTGTATATCCATTGTTATTGTTTTTCTAACAACACTTTCTGTATGTTAACATAAATTCCAATGTGTTTTGAATGCTGGGGTGTATTTTACTCTCTTGTGACGCTCCAAAGCCTGTACCTGCCAGGTAGGTGAAGGTCAGTGTCTGACTACTTATGTTTGTTTTAAAATTATTAACTTAAGGATGTTCATTTGGCAAAAAAATGTGATGGTTTGATCATACATTTCTATAGCGAGACTGCACAATACGTGCTCAATCCAAGCTATTACTTTTATAAAAGCTTATAGAGTAAGTTTTAAGGGAGCTAAATGTGTATGGAATTAGTTTTTTAGAATCATAAGGTGACCGATAGTATCAAGGGCTTTTTGAAACCTATGAACAAAGTGTCACAATGTAGGCTTGAGTTGAGTATTTCTGAGCCAGTTTTTATTATTTCTATTAAAACTGAGTGATAAAAATGAAACTTTCTAAACCTTAGTATGGAAAAGATAATGCTGTTCTATGCAGCTTACCATATATTTGTTTGTATGCATTTCTAATGGTTTGGAAAATTGGCCTGTAGCTATATGGATGCCGGATGTTACTTTTTTCTATGATGGTATGTGCTAAAAAAACAGTGGCGTGTATAGGGTGGGGAAGCATTTTAGGACACTTGCGCCCTTTTCGGGAAATAAAAAAATAATTATATTAAGCAACTATACATCAAGTCGGTGATGAATGACTAAACTAATGAAAATAAAATAGATACTAAACTAATGAAAATAAAATAGACGAGCCGGCCCGCGGCATAACATACGCCGCTATTTAGTTGTTTCTAATTTTCAATACTTCATAATTTGTGAATTCGACAGTACCAACGCTGACACTGAAAATATTTCTTTAAAACACTATAAGTAGCTCGTTAAGGACCATAACGCCCCCCCCTTCCTTCCCCCCCCCCCTCCTCCTCCCCCCCCCCCCCCACGTTTAAAATCGTTGGCTCTGCTTGTAAACATTTAGAGTGAACACAGCTCACTAAAACCATGTAGGGGTGGGGAGGTAGGGAGAGCGTTTGCAGCTTGTTTTCTAACGGCTCGAAGAAGAGAATTATATATATAGATACGCCTATCTTGTGTTCAGCGTTTGTCAGAATAAAGAGGAAGTATTATGATCGTACTGAATAATTAACAGATATTTTGACCGTCTTCACCTTTTTTTCACCTCTCTAATTTATCCTGAGGCGGGGAGAGGGGTGCGGACTGCACCGAGTGACACTCTTTGGGGGGTGAGGGTTGACACTAAGGCAAAAAATTGTTAATTGTACAGAATATAGATAAACTCGTTACTATGAAGTCTGCAGTGATTAAAGCTTATACACATACATGTACACGTATGTGGCATATATTTAAATTATAGGCTTATGCAGGACAACACACACACATATATATACTTTGTTTCTTGAAGGGGAGGGTGCCGCCCCGGGTGACACACGACCTAGGGACGCTACTAAATTTATCATATACGGAACATAAAGGATAACTGTAATCATGCAAAAAAAAGTCGAATTAGAAATTTTGACTAACATCAAAGTATATTTCGCGAGAGTCCGCTAGATATTAAGATGACTTTTGCTTCTTTAGTGGCCCACAATTCATTGTGATTTTAAAATGTAAAATATATGTTTGTTGTATTGGTAAAACTTATTCTGTACTAGTCTGTATTCTACAAATAGTTAAAAAGAATATAATAACAATAATTTTGGATTTATGTAGGCCTACGTTTACTTCTTTTTGTTTTATAAAAATGTGATATTACACGTGTATAATTTTAATTCTCTCACTTCAGTGTTTTACAATAGGCTTTAGGAAAATTAGAGACCATCCCAAATTTGGTACTGATTGATAGAAGCATATCGGCGCTTTTTGGTCCCTTTTAATTTTAAGGTTCTTTCTCAGATTAATTAATAAATGACGTCATTTAGGGATGAGGGTATGGCCTTTTGTGAGTCGTCAAAAAAGCATGACGTCATTTGTGGATGTCACTTAAATCAGAAAGCTTTCCACCGCGTGAGCTGGGTACACACAGCTGTACATGTGAACATTGTGTGATGTCTTTTATGCATTACTACACCCTTCATGCTATCGCAATGAAAATAGGGAAGTTTTTGAGTACACTCCTGCAAAAGTTTTAACATTAATTGGTTAAAAAATACTGAAGTAACGACTTCCTACAAAAATCTGCTGTGGAGCGCCCCGAGATCCCCAGTGGCTATATTAGAATTAGGTGGCCGCTAATTGAGTGTCCTGTACTACTTGAATCATCAGTCTCATTGCATTAAGGGTCTCCGCCGCGGGACGTGTCACAAGAGAGCCACGACCCCAGAGGTTCGGTGAGTGAGTCTCAGGGATTCGTCGGAGGTAAACACTCACATGAGTTACGATCGGATTTTGTCAGTGTGGACAATGGAGCTATTAAGAAAGGTTTCAGTGAACTGCTTTAGTAGCAGAGTTTCTTCCAGGCATCGCTTCCGCCCCCCCCCCCCCCCGAACGAAATGGAATTTATATAGAAAATATATACTTTTGACAGTGTCCGCCCCCCCCTCCGGAAATTGGTGTCCCCCCCCTAAATTTCAAGTGCACCCTCGGAGAAAAAAGTCTGGAAGAAACACTGTTTAGTAGAGTGTGGTTTGTAAAAGGTGAAAGCTTATTTGGTCTATTTTTGGTCGTGTGTTTAGAACAATTTCGATACTAGTATAACACTGTTTCAAATTATCACTTAGGTTGAACAAAGTAACAAAGCAGTAACAATCTTCGTATTATACCAATTTGCCTTAGTAAAATTGCAGTATTAGAAATTGTTATGAAACAAGAAATTTTAAAAAAAACTGATCTATTCGGTACACTATGCACATTTTCTAGTAAACGTATGCTATTTTACTGATTATATAACGACACGAGAATCCTTGGTATTTATTTCTCTTTAAAACGGTGGATCCAGGCAAGATGTAATACAATCCAGTAAAAGTATCCGATCTCTCACGTTGAAGTTGAGAGAATCCTAAGAATCGTACAAAGAACTTATAGTCGCGTCATTTAACAAAACAGGCTAATCAAATCGTACGTTACATTTCAATACAAATCGTTTCTATTTTAACTGTTAAACGATTTATCTACTCACCTTTCCGTTGTAAATTCGTCCTATTTACCTTGACAAAAAAGGTTTAGATTTTCTTAACCTTGATAAAAAAAAGTGCCTCCCCCCCCCCCCCATATTTTTCTTCTTATTTTATTGTTACGCAATACGCTTTGATACAAATGATTTGCTATCTAAGTCTTAAAAGGGTGATCTACTCACCAATCAAGTACAAATCCTTGAGAATTTTGTTGGGGAAAAAGCCCCCCCCCCCCCCCCATCATCTTGGACAATGTTGGTAAAGTGGGTTTCAGCGGCGGTACTAGAAAAAAATGGTCACCCCGCAAAATTTTTTTAGCCCCCCCCCCATATATATACATATATATATACATATATATATATATATATATATATATATATATATATATATATATATATATATATATATATATATATATATATATATATATATATATACACAAAATACGAACAGAGCATATGATACTCATTGCAGGCCTGTTCGGGTTTTGAAAAAAAATGTTTTTTTTTTTCAATTAAAACAAATTACTACTTCATATCATGTGTGTAAGTGCATTAGTGTGATTTGAGAAAATCAATTTCATTTTATCTGCTATGGGTTCTCTTAACATCTAGGCCTATCTGGCCAAAAGAATATAAAACATGAAATCTTTGGAGAAGTAATGGTGTCTCGTGTTATGATGATTATTATTATTTTTTTGTATTATTAAAATTAAATTATTAATTTTAAATACATTTCCTTTTTATACAAGGTCAATCTTTAGTAAGTACTTTATGAAAAAATATTTAGTAAGAGAAGTAATTGCTTTTTAATTTGTTTAGTACAAATCTATTAAAATTAAAAGGAGCTTATGAGCACCCCAATTTGACTATTTAAAAAATGGAAATAAGTCATGGAAGTGGTTTGAACGTTTGCTTATCTTTGTTATGTTTAATTGTAGAAGAGAGAGGACCTGGCTTTCACAGTGGTTTTAATAAAAAAGGGGGGGGGGAATATACAACAGCGTGGGGAGGGTGTCTATAGAATAAAGATAATCAAACCGCAGCTATGGTAATCGTTTTATAAAACAAACATTAAGTCAAAAATTGCAAGAAAATTAGATTTTTTAAACTATAATAAAAACTATTAGGTTCGACCGTGGGCTACTAAATGCCCCCCCCCCCCGCATTGCGGGGTCTGGCGGCACTGTAGTTCCGCCCCTGGTGGGTTTTATTTTCAGTAACATTTTTTGTTACGTTTACACAATGTACAATACGCTTTTATACTATTGGTTTATTTTATAAGTGATAAAGGTTATCTACTCACCAATCTAGTGTAAATTCTTCCGATTCTATTCAGCAAACAAGCGTCCGCCCCCCTCCCCCGGTCGAGAAAAAAAATCGAAAGCGGTTTTTGCCGATCGTTGTTTTTTTAAGGGTATTTGTTTTACTCAATCAAGGTAGAAAACAGTTAAACCAGTATGTAAAGGCTTGTAGCCATTAAATTTCTTAACTTTAACTTTTTATAATTAAAAACTACAATTGAAAATGAGCTTTAAAAAAAATTCTACCCCTTTTGGCGCCCCCCCCCCCCTATGGTCGGCAGCCGGGGCGGCTGCCCCCCCCCCCCCCCGCTACGCCTCTGGGAGGGGGGGGGGTTAAATTCCAAAGTTTTGTGGACGTCATTAATGGATGATCCCCAATTACAAAAAAATAATATAAATTTAAATTTCTGAAAGATCTTCGTTATTTTCTTCTTAAATACTTTGAATTAATTTCATTTTTTCAAAGCTGACTTTCCCCATTGTTTTCTTTTTGTATTGTTGACAACAGGCCCGTTTCTTTGTTTATGACCTACTTCTATAGGACGCCATCTACCGGCGCTTACTGATAAATACGGCCCATTATTACGTGGCATGTCATTGCAACTTGTAGAGTGTAGTGTAGAGGGGACGGAAGCAGGCGTTGTTACTGAAATAGCAATATTATTGGCGTTGAAATATCACTTTCTGTTAATATTGCTATGACGTGACATGTCGGATGCTGTTGAAATTATGAATGAAATACTTCTTCGCTACACTCAGTTTAGACCTTGATGTGATCTAGATCTAGAATTTAGGGCATTCTAGGCCAATCTAGAATCTAATCATCTAGGGCTATACTTTTGTGATCTGCCGCTTGCTCAGTTGCTGGTAATTTTTAATATTTATGAATTTATTAGATATACGGTAAAATCCCATAGCGTCCTTTATTATTCCGGAATTGTACAGCGGTAAAAAAAACAGTAAAACCATGGCGTAGTTTGCTGAGCCGTTCCGGCATTTATTTGCCGCCATATTAGCTAGCTAGGCCAACAGTTCTGCGGTTTTAAACACACGCATGCGCAGTACCATCGAAAACAACGCCGCTATGGCGTCGTAGTTTCTCTCCATTGCGCATGCGCATCTTATTCCGGCTGGCATTGGCCTTTTATTAAAAGTTTTAAATAAATAGGCCTACTGTTTTGCTAGGCCTACTTATTTTGTATTTCTAATTATTTTAAGTGTATGTGCTAATTATTGCTGCTACTAAACATTGTTCGGGAGAATGTTTACACCTGTGTCTGATAATGGAATCTTCTTTAAAAAAAGGGGTGTTAGGTTACTGGTAGTTAACTAAATACACACATGGCTGGCTAATGTCAAATGCTAACCCTGTCCCTAACCCAAACCCTGGTCCAACCATACGCCTAACCCTAATTTCTAACCATAAAATGAGTCGAGATTACAATACTACTAACAACCCAACACCCCTATTTTAAAGATGATTCCATTATCGGACACTGGTATCTATAATCATCCCATTGTTATTCTTAGTACTCTAACTTTAGTTAGGCCTAAATCTAATCGTCTTACCAAATTTAACTAGAATCTAGATCTAGTTGTCGCAAATCTTCTGCAAGTTTTTTTTTCTGGGTTTCTTAAAAAAAACATTAATTAGGCTACTACACTCAACTTTATTAATAATATTTAGATTTACTAGGCCTAATTGTAATTGCTGCTAATTTTCTGTCAATTAAACTTAAAATTTAGTTAAAACATTACATTAAGCCTAGGCCTAATGCACTTGACTTTATTTTTAATTCAACTGCCAAATAAAATATGTTTTATGGTAACGAATGTTAACGAAACTCAACAAACATCACCGGATAATTTATGACGCTATATCCAGAGTTTCTTCCAGGGAGCCCCCCCGAAAATTTGTTACCGCCCCCCCCCCCCCCCCAAGAAAAAAGTCTGGAAGAAACACTGGCTATATCATGATTTTACCAGGCCTACTTCTAGATTTAGATGTAGAAAAGAAAGATTTCTATTTCTAGGCCTACTAATTAGTATTACTCACTAACTTGGAGGACCGGTTGCTAACAACAATATGGCATCCTTATCGGACGCATTACTTTCTACCATGTTTTAGTCCGAATTCCAGTGACCCTCTATAAATTACTTGCAAAAATGTTTACCACGAGCAAAATGGCGGGGTTTTCATGTTTTAACAACAAACTATACATAGGTGGCAGGGCTATATATTAGTTTCAATTAATGAAATTTTAAAATCAAATATTATTTCACTTAAACCATGATAAGCCATGCCCTTTAGTAGCTAGTCTAATAAAAAAATTAATTCTTTAGATTAACTCAAGAGTAGCATACCAGTACAAATCTAGTAGTATTAGTAGTCCTATTCGTTACTAAACCGGAAGTCACTACCTGACTCTGAAACGTTACGCTCCGTTGTTTTTTTTTTTAATTTTTTTGTGGTCTTATCTACGACAAATTAAAAAAAAACTTCTAATCTCGCAAAATCTCATTATTATTTAAATGCGAGATGCTAAGATGTGACTTGACTTAGTCCTCTTTGTTCCTTATGGAACGTAGGGCCGCAACCATTTCCTTCCATTTCATCCGATCTCCGGCTATTAATTTTGCTGTCTCCCAAGACATCCATGTTGGCTTCCGTTCTTCAAGAAGACTCCGCCTCCAGAAAAAAGTGTACTGTAACGAAAAAAGAACTGACCACTGGGCAAAAGTGGTAGACAGTTCCAAGATTAATATATATTTAAGATATTTAGCCTATCATGATTAATTACATTAAATCTGTTTACTTTTTCCAAAATCCAATTGCCGCATGAGGTACCATGGGACAATTTTCTCTGCTATTTTTAGTAACATTACATAAATGTTACACTAGTTGTCAGATAGAAACAACTCCATTCCAGAAATTTTTAGATTTGTGGAGGAAAAAATTTGATGTCATATTTATACCATGATTCTGTGTGTGCCAAGGGGGATATGAACCAACCTTCCGCCAGTGAATCTCTCACATCTTTTGTATTGTTAGAAATGCGTTGCTTTGATCTGCACGGCTCCAACAGGTGGATGACCTATATCTAAGTTGTTGTCGGTGCCCGTTCTTTGATCAAATACAACCGTGGTCACTCCTTGACTTTCTAATAGCATGCTTATATGTAGAAACACTTTTGTTAGTCGTTTAAAAATTACATTAATTTAATTAAATTTAGTTTTTCTTGTTTCAGAACATCATTATTATTTCCTTATATAAACCTCAATTAAGCGTTTTTGTCCAGGGAGTTCATGTTGCGGGGGGGGGGGGGGGGTTCAGGGAGACGTGCATCTTGCGTTTGAAAGTCTAAATTTTATACCAACATATAATAATTAATGAATTAACAGTTAATTATTCTGTTATGTGAACTGTGCAAAAGATCACTGCTCAATAATGCCATTTTGTTATTACCTTTATTAATTTTATTATTTTATTACATACTTTATGAAAACAAAATGTATGCAAAGCCCAAAATTCAATAATATATTACTTTTTAATGTTATCTCCTTACACCTCCAAACTGAATGTATTAGACCTAAGTTTTCCTCATCAGTTATCATTTTTTATATTTTTAAACTGAATGCATTAATTATAAATTAGATAGAAGTAACTAGGTTTAATTATCTTATAAAAAATAAAGCCTACGTTAAATTGTAATTTTTTGTAACAAAGCTTCCAGCTTCTTATTAGCCTATTTATTTGAATCAGTAACAAGGTGCCCTAAATGCAGATACAATATTTAGGGTAAAGCAGGGTACTAAAAGCAGTGTGTTAATAAACCCAGTTAGCATCGCACCCCCACAAAACCCCAAAACTATTAATCTACTTCTGAGGTAACAGCCACCACTGTTCTTTGATAACAGAGAAGGTGGGGATTTTTCTTGTGTCATTTATAACCTGCTTGGTCCGGTAGGGAGAAGATAAAATATGATTTAATCCCTCTGCTTTTTCTGTAAAATTTTCTGTAAAAAATGTCAGACAATTGTCTTGTTTTACCATGCTGTAAAGTTTTGATCATTCTCAGAGTAAAACTTGACTATCTTATTAATGGTTTTATTTGTTAGAAAATAACTAAAACTTCATGAGTACATTAATTTTGTCCACTAGCTTGCAGTTTTTTTAGGCCAACTTCTATAGGCATAACAAAGGTATCTTAACTATATTAATAATATTCTACAAATAACCCAATATTATGTGAAAAATCTCGAGTTCGAACCCTCTGGCAGATGAGGCTCGTTAGCTGGGGACAGCCACTCTTCTTTGAAAGACAACTCCAAAATCAAACAACTGCTGCCTTGTAGATTGTTCTTGGTTGGACAAAGGCTATGGAAGCAAATCCAAAAAAGAAAAGCAGGCTGAAATCGGAGTCAACAGCCTCAACGGCGCATAACCAGTTGACACGTATCCTTAATTGTGATGGAGGTGTGGGCGAGTTGGCTTAAGCTAATGGTTGATAAATTCGAAAAATTCTCGAGTTCAAACCCTCTGGCAGTAAAGGCTCGATCCCTTCCAACGCTAAAAATTAAGAACGAAGAAGAAGATGTGACCATACAAGTATAAAAGTGTAGATTTAAATAGAGCCTTTTATCAATTTATTATTAAATTATTATTAACAATAACAGTAATTGTTCAATAAAACTCTAATAAAATAATTTATAAAATAGTTATTGGTCAAAACGGTATGTGCATTACCACTACTTGAATGATATTAGTGACAAAGCAAAGAAATGGCCAAATAGCTAAAAGTTGGACACATTTAAAATAACATAGGCCACTAATACCTATTAGAAAAATTAAAACCAAATTATATACTTTTTTAGTCAACACAACACCATATTAAATGCACACACTAATTAAGAGACTTAAATGATTCTTTAAAAACCTGGCTTTTCAATGGTCATTTTGTTATTTTTTAAATGTGATTTGTATTAATTTGACAGAGAAAATTGTACACATATCAGAGTGTACATCTTGATAAGTCTAATTCAATTGTAAACAAATAATAAATCCATATACTTACGCCATAAAACCTTTATGCATGCACATATATTTGTTCACAGCCATACGAGTAAAATAGCGTTGGAACTTTTTACAATTGTTGCATTATGGGTACTTTAGATGATTTTAAAATCTTGCAAATTTTTTTTTTGTTATCAATAATAATCCCGTTCACATTAATTGATGTAGTTCGGATTTTTTTTCTCTCTCCCTGGCTAACTAGACTTGAATTTAAGTGAGAGAGAACAAGAACTCACAAGTCCTCTAGTGTTTAAATATTGTCACTAAACTAAAAAACATTAAGTGCAAATTAGTGCCAAGCTACCTGAAGAGAACAAGTGTTTATTCAGCTCTTTGTCACAGTTTTTAATTATAAACTAACAACAGCAAATCAAGTTTTCATTTTTGTTATTATTGATATCTTTTTACTTTCTCGTATATACGTAGTATAGAGAAAGTATTGTAATCGTGCAAAAAAAATCGAGATTTTACACCTCACTGATACGGAAAAACATAATTTTGCAATCTTGTCCATATGTCTGTGTGTGTGTGTCTGTGTGTGTGTGTGTGTGCGTGTGTAAACACGATAACTTGAGTACCGTTACAGCTAGGTTGATGAAATTTCATATATAAGTATTTTATCAAAATCGTAGATCCGTATCAACTTTTGAGCAATTTCCGATAACCGGAAGTGGTACTTTTTCTACTTTGAATTTTTCAAAAGCCTATAACTTGAGTACTATTTCAGATAGATAAATGAAATTTCACATGTAAGTAAAAGATCTTACTCTCTACCTTCTGTTAAATTTTGAGTAATTTCCGTTGACTGGAAGTACTAATTTACGCTATTTCCAATTTCTCAAAAAACAAATGTAAATTTTTAAAGTACTAATAATATTGCGCACCATTATACACTTTTTTATTTGGCGTTCACTTGATGTGCAATTAATTTGTCTACGAGATTTTATTCTATTTTAAAGACTTTAAGTATTTAAAATGGATTAAAAATCATAACTATATCCCGAGTTCCCATCCCTTGTTGTTTTATATAAGAATATTCAATGTGTTGCAAATATTGCCATGTTATTAGTTATATGTTGTTTTGGCTATATAATCACCAGTTTAACTTTTACTTTTTTTAAATCATCAGTTCATTTTGAGAAAGCTGTACAGAATGGAGTTGGAAACAGATGTGTTAGCTGCAGTTTCATCTACTGTAGATATACAGTCAAATGAACTAACAGAATTTTCATCTTCTGAAGATTTGAAACCAGATATATCAACTGTATTATTATCATCTCCTGAATTATCAACATTTTTAAATTTCCAGGATATAAAACCTGACATGACATTTAAAACGCCTCAAGATGTTAAACCTGATTTTACAACAGAATTTTCTTATTCTGATGACATAAAACCAGAATTATCATTTTTTGATTTCCAGGATATAAAACCAAACAAGTCATTTAATACTTCTCAAAATGTTAAACCTGATGTTGCAACAGAATGTTCTTCTTCTGAAGACATAAAAGCAGAATTCTCAACATTGTTTTTTTCCCAAGATATTAAACCTGACATTACAGACAAAACTTCTCAAGTTGTTAAACCTGATATTACAATTGAAAAAAGTAATAAGAAACCTGCTGCAACAGCAGTATTTTCAACATCAGAAAATTTAAAACCAGAATTTTCAACTCCTGAAAATTTAAGACAAGATTTCACAACAGGATTTTTATTTTTTGAGGATAAGCAACTTGGACTTGAACAAAATCTACAACTGTCTAGGGACGAACCCAACAAGCTAGTTTATTATCATCAAGCATTTTCTAGAAGTTCTAATATTAAGATGCATAAAAAAGTTCATTCAGGAGATAAACCACATGAATGTGATGTTTGTCATAAAAGGTTTTCTCGAAGTTATATATTAAGAAAACATAAAAAGGTTCATTCAGGAGAAAAGCCATATGAATGTGATGTTTGTCATAAAAGGTTTTCTCAAAGATATGTTTTAGGAAGACATAAAACTGTTCATTCAGGAGGAAGGCCATATGAGTGTGATGTTTGTTATAAAAGGTTTTCTCAAAATTATAATTTAATAACACATAAAAAGATTCATTCAGGAGATAAACCACATGAATGTGGTGTTTGTCATAAAAGGTTTTCTCAAAAATCTAACTTAACAAAACATAAAAAGGTTCATTCAGGAGAAAGGCCATATGAGTTTGATGTTTGTCATAAAAGGTTTTCTCACAGTTCTATGTTAACACAACATAAAGAGGTTCATTCAGGAGAAAGGCCACATCAATGTGATGTTTGTCATAAAAGGTTTTCTCAAAGTTCTATGTTAACACAACATAAAAAGGTTCATTCAGGAGAAAGGCCACATGAATGTGATGTTTGTCATAAAAGGTTTTCTCAAAGTTCTAACTTAACACAACATAAAAATGTTCATTCAGGAGAAAGGCCATATGAATGTGATATTTGTCATAAAAGGTTTTCTCGCAGTTCTACTTTAGCACAACATAAAAAGGTTCATTCAGGAGAAAGGTCACATGAATGTGATGTTTGTCATACAAGGTTTTCTCGCAGTTCTGGTTTAGCACAACATAAAAAGGTTCATTCAGGAGAAGGGTCACATGAATGTGATGTTTGTCATACAAGGTTTTCTCGCAGTTCTTGTTTAGCACAACATAAAAAGGTTCATTCAGGAGAAGGGCCACATGAATGTGATGTTTGTCATAAAAGGTTTTCTCAAAGTTCTAACTTAACACAACATAAAAATGTTCATTCAGGAGAAAGGCCATATGAATGTGATGTTTGTCATAAAAGGTTTTCTCAAAGTTCTACTTTAGCACAACATAAAAAGGTTCATTCAGGAGAAAGGTCACATGAATGTGATGTTTGTCATACAAGGTTTTCTCGCAGTTCTGGTTTAGCACAACATAAAAAGGTTCATTCAGGAGAAGGGTCACATGAATGTGATGTTTGTCATAAAAGGTTTTCTCCCAGTTCTAGTTTAACACGACATAAAAAGGTTCATTCAGGAGAAAGGCCACATGAATGTGATGTTTGTCATAAAAGGTTTTCTCAAAGTTCTAATTTAAGAAAACATAAAAAGCTTCATTCCGGAGAAAGGCCATATGAACCTGACGATCGTCATAAAAACTTGATGGAGAAGAAAGATTTATAACGAAGTAAAGTTATTCATTCTGGAGATAAGCCATTTGAATCTGATGTCTGCCTTAAAAGATTCCCATATAGTTCTTATGTTCTTATCTAGAAGAACATAAAAAATTTTATTCAGGAGAATACCCATATGAATGTGATGCTTGTCATAAAAGGTTTTCACAAAGTTCTAATTTAAGAAAAAAAAAATATTCATTCAGGAGAAAGGCCACAATATTGTGGCTTTTGTCATAAAACCTTTGTGGTAAAGAAAGATCTATAACTACATAAAATTACTCATTCTGGCAAGGTTCCCACACAGCCGGGGAAAAACTGGGAATTTTAAAATTTAATTTACTTGCCGGAAATTTTAATGAATAGCCAGGAAATATCTAAAAAAAAAAAAACAGGAAATATTGCTTCCCGGCCTTTTTTTCCCGGTCTATCCAATTGCTAGTCTCGCTGCGTCTCGTGATCTAGCTCTGGGGCCTAAAATTACTCTTACCAATTCTCATGTTGCCTTTTACCATTAATCAAAAAATTGTAACAACTGGAGTAAATAGGGCTTTCATAAACTCACTGTGACCCCAAGTAGGCCCATGCGATCATACAGGCATTTTGTTTTTTTTTGGGGGGGGGGGGGGATGATACACTGCCTTCATCAGCTGTCTTAAATAGCTATTTATGTTAGAACCTATTCTATATTGTTGTTTTTTGTTTTTTTTTTCAAGTTTTTATTTTGTTTTAAAATATGATTTATTTGAAATTTTTAAAAATAGGCCCTAGGATCTAATTTCAGTTGTTCTGGTTGATCTCATTGTATATCAAACTAAAATGCTAAACTTAATGTAAGGTATTAATTAGTACAAAAATAGCATGAGGGATATTTTTCAAAGGTCTTGTCTTTAAGCAAATTACTTGCTGTTTTCAGTTTGTTGTTTGTATGAATAACTGCACACTTTTGGCTGACTACACACATTATTGAACTTGACCTCAATATATGAAATGCTAAAATTAAGCAAATTATTTGCTGTTTTCATTTTTGGGTTGTTCTTTGCGTGAATAACTACACACTTTTGGTTTACTACACACATTATTGAACTCAATATATGAAATGCTAAAATTAAATACTTAGATATGTTACAAACTGCAGTGTACATATCTACACCTTTTTATATTTGGTTTCAAAGTGTTTATACTAACAGCTTAACTCACGATATTCATATTAATTGTATTAACAAACAGTTGTTTTGTATTGGGGGATGTTCTAGAAATGGAATATTACATTATTGGATCTAGATGGGTTTATTATTTTAAACTATTTTTGTTAAATGCTTAAAAAATTTCGGATGCGACATCAAGTTTCAGGGTTTAAAAATTTCAGTTTTGGGATTGAATTTTAGGATATGATTCACTTAAAAAATAAGTGGCACCCCTAAAAATGTCTGCTATTTGTGCTTTAATTAAATTTAATTCAGCCGGTTTATGTTCAATAAAAATGCGCTAGTTGGGAATTTCTTTAAATAGCATTGAATTTATACTTGAAAAATTTGTGAATTTCTTGGAATAGCAGTGTATTTTCTGGTCAAAAAATTGTGGGAATACTTTTCTGGATAAAAACAGTCAATCAGGAGAAAAGGCACATAAATGTGATGGTTGTTGCAAAAACTTTGCGAAGAAGAAGGGTCTATTATGAGAAAAAAATGTTCATTCTGGAAGTAAGCCATATGAATGTGATGTTTTTCATAAAAGGTTTGCTGGGAAGTGTGATTTATGAAGACATAATTTTGTTCATTTGGGAAATAATCCACATGAATGTAATGTTTGTCCTAAATGATTCACTCAGAATAGTAGTATTAGTAGTTTAACTACACATAATAAACTTCATACAAGATCTAAACTACATGAACATGATGTTTGCCAAGAAAGGTTTACTCACAGTTTTTATTTAACTATACATAAAGAAGCTCATACAGGAGACAAGCTACATAATCATTTGAATGTGATATTTGGCACAAAGTTTTCTCAATATAAATGAATAATTTATTACGACCTATAAGTGTTCATACAGGTTATAAGCCATATGTATGTGTTGTTGGACTTGGACATAAAAGATTATCTTAAAAATCTTATTTAAGTACACATGAAAAAGTTAATTTAGGAGAGAAGCTACATGAATCTGGTATATATCACAAAAGATTTTCTCAAAGTCTTAGTCTAAATGTACATTAGAAAATTCAGTCAGGAGAGAAGTAACATGAATGTTATATTTATCACAAAAGATCTTCTCAAATATCTAATTTTAATACTCATAAATAATTCATTCTTGAGGTAATCCAGGAAATTCATCATGACTTAAAATCAAGTTAATGTAATTTTTTAACAAAATTAATATAATTCTAGAGCAAATTATTATTATTGAATATCTTGTTACAATTTTTTTTCTCTTCAGAAAACTTTAACTAGTGGCCATCCAATAGTGGTCCATAGTTTATTAATTTTAATATTTGTATTATGAAAAGGTTGCTTTGTCAAAGAGCATACCACATCAATTATTATACATACTCTATAAAGAAATTGTATTCTGACTGTAAAAGGAAATAGCATTCTATTATGTCAGCTGCATGTGTACAATTTTTTCTTTATGTGGCCTACTTCTTTTTGTGTTTTTTGTAAATATGTATGATAGAAGAAGTAAGCTATAACTTTAGAAACCCAGGGTTTTCTTTTTATACCTGCATGGTTTTGTTCAGGTCACACAGTTAATTTGCCTGCTCTTTTCAAATTATATAAAACGAGAAAAAAGGATACAACGGGCGCTAGGTTGATAGTGCCTTCTATTTTCTCTAAACTAAAACCAAAACCAAAATCACCACCTTAATTTAATTTAACCGAAAACGAAAAACGATATTGAAAACGGATTTTTAATCAGAATCGGTACTTTAATTTATACAAAATATAGTCATAGGCATATCCCTAAATCATGCACCTAATCTCATTCATGACAAAAGTCGCATTTAGAGTTTCTTTCAGGCAACTCTACTTGGGAGGAGGAGGCTCCACCCACCCCCCCCCCACCCCCCCCCCCCCAAACATGTCTACCATCCCATTCAACGAAATATAATTATATACTTATTATTGACAATTCACATTCATTGGGGCAAGGGAGTTTACCAATTCTGTACTGTAACACAATTCACATTTATAACTTTACACATTTACACTACTCACAAACAGCTCAGTCAGACATACAGAAACATGACAGAATATCAGGTTGACAGTTAATACTACCTCCATTAGACAAGTACAATGACATCAGGCCGGCAGTACAGTGACATCAAAACTTCTGAGCAGACATTTTTTTTTGTAAAAACGTTTTCATCATTTGCGAATTGACCTTAATCATTATATTGAGAAGTATAAAATCTTAAATCATATGATCAGATTATACTGGCTGCAATGTAAAACTCAAACTGTGAAAACTGGCTGCCATGAAAAAATTAAAAAATTTTTCTAATATTTGTCCTTGAGATGTATTTATTGTCTTCACTAATGCAGATATAATTGTAAATTAAATTTAGATTGAATTTAAAATGGTAATTTAGTACCTGGATAAGTTTAAATTCTACTAGGAACCAAGTTCTTTATGGTGTGCAGATCCTGTTAAAATTTTACAATCAATAGCATAAAGGTGTATAAACAAGGTGCCCATTATTGTTCCATTTACTTGATTGACTAAATTTAACTTGTATCTGTTGTGATCAGTAAAATGATGCAATTTACTTTCTATGTAAACTTATGCTGTGAAAATTAAACTTCTACTTTCATTGTTTGACATTATTTTATTCATCCCATTTAGGAACCCTTCCTCCCCCTCCCCCTATTTACATGTCTTATGGAATTAGCCTCAAGTTTCAAGTTAGTCCCAATCATTGTTAAGGCTTATGGTTACTTCCTAACTTTTGCTAGATGAATGTTTTTTATTTTATAAAATTAAATGCATTTGTTACATGTTATATGTAGATTTTATCTTTCTACACTTCTTGTCAAATATCTGCTAAATCTCAGACCTCTCTTTATGCAATGTGTTAAAAAATAATTTTCTTCAGATATTCATATAGGTAGGTAGTCCAAACTGGCGAAAAAGTGCGTTTTATGGTCAGTTTTTGCGGTTTAAAAAAAAAAAATTTCACTACTTCTAGTTGTCCTATAAGAATAAAAATTATATGTCAATAAAGTTTAAGTCTTTATCTGTCGTAATCTGGTATCGTTATATCTGTAACACATGTTTGAATGTGTTTTATATTTGTTTGAAAAGTATCAGTTACGTCAACAAATTTCACCGTTTTGCGCGTACCGATCGACCCCACACTGTTTCATTTGGTTGCGGCTTCGCGACGAAGCATCGTAGAAGCATAATCTTAATGTCCCTTTAAAGAGCGAATTCTAGTCTATCGTTTAATGTATAAATTGAAAAAAATAACTTGCTTATTTCATTTTAAAAAATCAGTTTTTAAAACTTAAATGCTATTATATACACGAAAACAAACTAATTCTGTTTCAATTTTTACACCGATGTAAAGCTCACTTTTATAACTACTTTGTGTTGTAAATTCAAGTATTTCTGATTTACGGTCGCGAAGCCGCGTCTCAATAAGCATGTAACCCTCGAGTCAACTTTTAGCCTCGGGTGAGTTGCTCGCCGAAAGGTTTTAAAGCTTGACGACCGATGATGCTAAACGGATTTTACCCTTGCTAGAGCCTTCAAACAAGTTGCAAGTATCATTTTTAAAGTTTTATTTTCATTTTAATAAATGAATTTTAAGTTTGAATGTCAGTTTGGTTTAATTAGTACACGTTATTAATGTAAATTTGAACGCTACTAGTCCACGGTTTTGGCGTGTGAACTACGCTTGTACACAGGGTGTGTTTAGACGTGAAGCTATTTAATTCAGGACATTCGAGGGACTTGAAATATGGATGCACTTAACTATTAGATGCTAGTGTTTACTAATTCTGTAAAATCTATCGACTGGGATCAATGATAGGGTCGTATTACTACAGTTTATCTGGACTATCACGTCAAAATTATGAATCGACAAATTCAAAATGGCCACCAGACAATCCTGGTTTCTATGTGGACGAACTCAATTATTTACGGGGAACGAAGGTTAAATACTTATAAAATATTAATGCAACACAAAAGAAATTTATAATTATAATAACCATACATTTTTATCAATTTATTTAAAACAAAAGACACTAAATTTTAAGGACTAATGTGATTAATTTTTTTTATTTTCTGTTGTGCACTCTGATTCTGATTCCATTGCTGAATAATGTGAAATGGTCTGCGCCAGTCTCCTTAATAAAATGTACCAGATCAATTTTTAGATGGTGGTGCAATTTATTAAGATTGTACATGTTGTGACTTAGTTTTAAATGTTATATTAGTTGTAAGTGTAAGCAGTACTAGTAGTATTTCTCATTATTTATTTATTTTATATGCATATAGTAACAATGAAGGACAGTTAAGTTGTCCTATAGGATGTTGAGAACCACAGTATGGCACCTTCATCATTGGATATCTCAACCATTGTGGCACAAGCAACGAATATTTCATTCAATAGAATTAATATTAAAAATATACTATCAAGTATAAATTACTTTTAACAAAAAGGTGTTTTCAGGCTTTTTCATATGTTTCCAGCTACAGTCATAGGACAAATAGTAGGCCTACACAATAGGCTAGTAGTAAGTTTAATTATATTTTATTAATCACTAAATAAATTATTTATTCCATAGCTGGAGACACTTATGGTGGCTTATCCAGAACTTTCCTTACAAGGGAAGGGAAGAAGGCCAAGCCCCTCCCCCCTCCCCTACAGTTCCCAAAACATATCACTTACTCTTGATGCTCCACAAGATCAAGGTTGAGGGAAACAAGACATACAAAGATGTGGAGTTGTCGTTTTAAAAACTGTTCCCCCAAAGCAGTTATCAACCCGATAGGTTTGAATGTAGCATCAACTGCTGCATCACTTGTAGGCATCACGTCTTTATTAGATTACATTACATTACTCCACTAAATTTTGATTCTGTTTCTCCTGCACTATATAACTGTGGCATTTTTTTAAAATAATATTTTAACTAATGTGATTTTTGAAAATAATGAACACATTCTTCCTGTTAATGTTACCAACACAATAGTTTTAGAGTTATTCTATGTCCAAAGCAAAAAAAAAAAAAAATTAGAATTTTTTTTTTTTGTATGAAAATAAAAGTGACCAAAACGCATTTTTGTCATTTTCAATTATTTTTTTACCTTAGAAAGACTCATTTTAGATGACTGAAAAAAATTGGGCATATATATTACAAACTTTGCAGTAACTTTACCAATTTCTACACTTCTATGTTATCTAGTTTAGATAATATGGGTTCTCAAAAATGGCTCTTTTTGAAAATCAGTTTTTTACCAAATTTAACTTTTTTAAAAATCGCATAACTTTTTTATTTATTGGGATATTTTTATAAAATTTGTGGCATAGAGCTTACAATTAAAAGTTCTTTCATGACATACTCACTCCAGAAGTCTACAATCAATAGTTAATTTCAGTTTGGACTACCTAATATAGGTATAGAATTTAGAGATTAACACATTTAGAGATTAAACATTTATTTAAAAAAAACAAACATAAAAATTATAAATTTGAATAAAAGAATGACTAAGGCTGCAACTGTTACATTTCTGGATGTTAGTTTAAACGTAATGTTATTTTTGGTTAGTTGTTATTTAATTTTGTATTCTTAAAACCCATTGAAATGTAAATTATATTGTAGTGAATCATTAGAAATTGTATCATTAAAATGTTATACAATAAAATGGCTAACGTGTATGTCAATTTTTTATTGTTATTGTTTTTATAACTAAACTTTATGTATGTTTAGGGTTGCCAGTTGAACTGGACAGTCCAGTATTTGAGCAGACTGTCCAGGATAAAATAAATATAAATACTGGACAAGTATATGAATAATACTGTTACCCCCCCCCCCCCCCTTCTTCGGCTTTGCGGCATACCTGAGAAGGGAAGGATGGAAAGGTGTCCAGTATTTTCGGAAAAGGTATCTGGCAACCCTAGTATGTTAACAAAATTTCCAACGAGGTCTTCTTTCTTCTTCTTCGTTCTTAATTGTAGTGTCGAAAGGGATCCCCCCCCCCCAACACAATTTAGTATATGGTTCAACTGCTTATGCGCATGACATTGACTCTGATTTCAGCATGCTTTTCTTTTTGGATTTGCTTCCATAGCCTTTGTCCAACCAAGAGTTGTTTGATTTTGGAGTTGTCTCTCATAGAAGAGTGGTTGTCCCCAGCTAACGAGCCTCATCTGCCCTTCAGCGTTTAACTTAGTGTTACTTAGGAAAAGTAGTTGAGACCAGAGGCGTACCGGGGGGGGGGGGGCCTTATGTCCCCGGGCGCCGACCTTAGGGGTCGCCAAAATGGGTTGGAGATACAAATTGAAAGTTTGAGGGGGGGGGGGTGCAAATCAAAAGTTCGAGGTGGGCTGGAAATCAAAAGTTCGAGGTGGGGTGCAAATTGAAAGTTTGTCCCCGGGAGCCGTGAAGGGTCGCTACGCCTCTGGTTGAGACCATCCCAATTTCGGATAGAAGAGCACATCGGCTTTTTTTTTTCTTTCTCAGATCAATTAATAAATGACGTCATGTAGGGGTGAGGGTTTGGCCTTTTATAAGTCGTCAAAAAAGCATGACGTCATTTATGGATGTCCCTTAAATCAGAAGGGTTTCCCCCGCGTGAGCTGGGCACATACAGCTATACATGTGATTATGTGTCTTGTCTTTTATGCATTACTACACCCTTCGTGCTATCGCAATGAAAATGAGGGAAACTTTTAAATACACTCCCGTAAGGGTTTCTGTCATAGGCAGTAGCGTAGCGAGGGGGGGGGGGACATATGTCCCCGGGCGCCGACCTCAGAGGGCGCCAACATGGTTTGGAAAAATAAATTGAAAGGTTGAGGGGGGTGCAAATCGAAAGTTTGAGGGGGGATGCAAATGGAAATCTCAAAGGGGGGGGGGGGGGGTGCAAATCGAAAGTTTGAGGGGATGGGTGCAAATTGAAATCTCGAGGGATGGGGGTGCAAACAGGGGCGGAACTACAGTGCCGCCAGACCCCGCATTGCGGGGGGGCCCACGTCATTTAGGGGCCCACTGCCGACCATAATAAATTTTTATAGTTAACTTTTTTAATTTTATTTTCTTGCATTTTTGACTTGATGGTTGTTTTGTAAAAAGATTACCGTAGCTGCGGTTGGATTATCTTTATTTTATAGACACCACCCCACAACATTGTATATTCTTTTTCCCTTTGTTCTTAAACCATTGTGAAAATCGAGTCCTCTTTCTCCTACAATCAAACTTATGAAAGATAAACAAACGTTCAAACCAATTCCATGACTTATTTCCCTTCTTTAAATTGTCAAATAGAGGTGCTCATAAGCACCTTTTAATATATTTATACTAAACAAAATAAAAAGCAATTACCTCTCTTAATTATTATTTTTTATAAAATACTTACAAAAGAATGACATTGTATAAAAAGGAAAAATATTTAAAATTAATAATATAAATACAAAAAAACATAAAAATAAACATAGCACGAGACACCATTACTAATACAAAGTTTTCTGTTTTATATTCTTTTGACCGACTCAAAACTAAAACATCTTCCGGCAGGGATAAAATAAAACTGATTTTCTAAATAGAATAATACACACAAATGACATGTTGTAATTTGTTTTAATTTAAAACAAAACATTATTTTTTCAAAACCTGATCGGGCCAGCATTGAGTATCATATATATATATATATATATATATATATATATATATATATATATATATATATATATATAAGGGGGCCATAAAAAAAAAATTTGCGGGGTGGCCCTTTTTTACTAGTTCCGCCACTGGGTGCAAATCGAAAGTTTGAGGGAGGGGTGCAAATCAAAATCTTGAGGGGGGGGGGTGGGGTGCATAGGTCATAGGTCTAACATTTGTTTGAAAATATTGAGTATTGCAAATATTTTGTTTTGATTAGTTAGAATTCTGGTAGTGTAGGTAATCAGCCTTTGGGTTAAGCTTTCGAAAATTAAATTTTCAAACTGGAAAAATGCAACAGACAAGTTTAATGAGCACCAGCAATGTAAGTATCATAAAAGAGCAATATTACTTTGCCAAAATCGTTAATCGGTGATGGAGAAAAAAAATTGAACCTATTGACATCCTTCTTGAACTCATCATCAAGTCAACAAACTCTAGAAAATCGTTTAAGATTAGCGCCCATAATAGAAACTATAATTTTTTGCGAAAATTTTGAAAATTTCAATTGGAGGATCCTGATAAAAATGATGGAAATTTTCGAGCTCTTTTGAGATACAGAGCCATGGGAGGGGACAAAACAATTATAACATCATCTAGAACTATATTAAATAAACCGGGAGTGATCTCCCCTAAACTTTCTCGAATATTCTTATATAAAACAACAGGGGATGGTAACTGGGGATATAGTTATGATTTTTACAAGCTTTTATTTAACTCGCTTCCTCTGTCGTCAGTCGTCAGTCTGTCTAGATCGAAATGCTGGAGTGAAAATTCGGACACTTCTACTTGACCGACACGATTCACATTTGGCACGTAAGTCAAGACATAAAGACAATGCAATCTGAAATTAAATTTTACTTAATTGGATGCCTAATTAATTTTTTATGAATTAATTAAAATTTGGACCGAATCAATAGGCTTTCAACAAAGAACAAGAAAAGAATGCCATAACACTTATGCAAAAATATGAACGTTTGATTAACAGCAGTGTCATCGATGGAAGAATTGGGGAACTGAAACTGTGGTGGCGCTACATTATTACAAGTGGAAATGTGCCGCAAAATGCTCATCAAACTTTTTAATGTGCGAGGTAAAAATATGTCCAACAATACACAAACTACTACAAATATTTGTAACATTGCCTGTAACAACTGCTGTTCTGACCCTTTTGGTGCATCCATAAGGACGGAGAACAGGGTGCCCCCCTCCCCACTAGCTACGCCTCTGGACTTACGGACAGCTTGGAAAAGTTTAACTCCAAATTCTTTATTATGCCTAGTAATAAATGTTATCGAAAATATCAAAGCCCTATATTACACTATCAGTTAACGTGCACATGGTATGTAAATGAATTAGTATCTTTATAGCATGTTTTGAGGGGTCTACTAAGTTTTTATTGACGTCCACTATGGGGGGGGGGGGGGTCGTCGAAGGTGGACGAGGGAGGGAAGTGGGAGGAGGGGGGTTAAAATTCCACATTTTTGTGGACGTCATAAATGGATGACCCCGAGTCTAGTCAAGTCTATTATACATGTCATAAGTACTGTAAACTCTAGGCTAACACTACCCCTGTCCCTAATCCTAACGCACCTATTAGGGTCACTGCGAATGTATAACTTTTTTTAGTTTTATCATAATAATGAGGATAGTGTTACCTGACATCGGAACACTTACATGATATGAAGGGTGACTGCTTTATAATATTGAACAAAATTAGTATTCTACTTAAATTGATCCTTTAAAAAGAAGGCTATAAAAGCAAGTCGCCTCTTGAAATATCAATTATCAGTTATTATTATAGAATTTTAAATGGGTAAATTTCCTTACTTACTTGAAAATTGTGTAGAATAAATTTTAAAGGATTTTTTCTATTATCTACATGTTATTATCGTAATATTTGTTTGTAATCGAATAGCTGGGGGAAAATGCCCTTGATGTAGGTACAACTGAGAGGTAAAACTTGTAAATTATAATAATTGTTTAATGTTTAAATTCCTGAGACTGTTACGTCCCTTTAATAATTAAAATTGAGGAGTAAAAGCGTTTAATTAATTACCCCTTAACACCAGACCAATAACTATTAACAACTTTAAAATAGTAAAAACTAAAATTATCCATTTTATACTTCACATTGCATAAAATTTAAGTTGACCTTAACTTCTCTATTTGAAATGCTAATGATGTTAGTTCTTTGCATGTTTTCCCAATGTGACACAGGCATCAATTAGAGCTGAGTAGGCACAACAGTGTCAACTGAACTCTGAAATATCAAAAGAAATTGCTAAAACCTGTAATCTCAATGAATTTGTTTTTGTTCTAACAAAACTTTTAGTATTCAATTAATTCAGTGAGACCAACTGTATCGAATGCTGAAGTAATGGGTAGGCGTGGTTGAATCGGTAAAGCTCATGGTTGCTAAACCGAAAAGTCTCGAGTTTGAACCCTCTGGCAGATGAGGCTCGTTAGCTGGGGACAGCAACTCTGCTGTCTTGTAGTTTGTTCTTGGTTAGACAAAGGCTATGTAAGCAAATCCAAAAAGAAAAGCAGGCTGAAATCGGAGCCTCAATGGCACATAACCTGTTGACACGTAACCTTAATTGTGATGGAGGCGTGGTCGAGTCAGCTAAAGCTGAAGGTTGATAAATTCAAAATAGATGAGTTCAAACCCTCTGGCAGATAAGGCTTGATCCCTTCCAACACTAAAAATTAAGAACAAAGAAGAAGAATGCTGGAGTGTATTTTAATCCGATCCCTTTGTGATATACTAATTATTTAACATAACAGGTAGTTTAAGGTCAACATCAGACAACATGGGCATGTTGTCTTGAAATGCTGGGTGTCTTGAAAACACAAGTCTCGACAGAAATCCAAACTCAAAAACTTGCGATCCAAAATT